TAAAAATAAAGCACAAGCGTCATGGATGAGCTGTTCCACACAGTACGACATTATTGCCAAGATAATTCCATTAAACATGTTTCTAAAGAGACCAACAGCACAGCTGATGACTTTCAGTGGCTAAATGCCTGATTGGAGGATACCAAACCAATTCCAAAGTGGTTCTACTATAAACTGACATTTCAGATACAGACTCTAAGACTGTTTCAAAGACACACGCTGAATTTTTCTTGTGTAACACTAAATCATTTGTAATCTTATACAATCCAGGTAAAAGTGGCATGCTTACTACAAGAGACACACAAAAATCCTTTCTTGATACTTGTTTTAATTTCAATTGTTAATAATAAAAAGAGAATCCATAGCTAATGACGATGTCTCATCAACTTGGACTGTGTGTGTGCATACATTTTTTACATCAACTAAGGCTTACAGACGACCATGCACTCGTGAATCAGCACAGAGATTTGGAGTCAGGACCAGACGTCCTGGACACGTGTCAAGAAGAAGTCATGTAAAAGCTAAAGTACGAAAATGAGGAATGTCTGCAAAGTCCTGCATTGTTAATATTGTATGAGTAAGATAACATGCGTGGTAATACATAAAAAAAAAAACAGTGACTCACAATTGTGAACATACTTGCTCTTCAGACACTTGGCCACATTTCAGTCTGTGAACTCAGTTTAGCTTTATTTCAGAGGAATGAGGATGTGTCGATGGATCGTTTAGGACAAATACCAAAAGTGTTATTTCTCCTGAGTTTCATCCAGCAGGGCGCTCTCATACTGATGCTGATACACATCTGAAAGCAATAAAACAAGGAAGAAAGAGGGACCGGCAAATTATAGATGATGAAAGAAGAATTTTAACAAGTTCATAAAGGCGTTTTTTTACTGTACCTGTTTACAAGACTTTTATGTGAAGCTGAACAAGGTAAGTTTAAACAGCCAACTGATGCCAACGAAACACAACAAAGCTTTAAAATCATACAATAGGTTTACATATCCCCCCCGCACTGGTTTATTAATCTGTATTTATGCTTGGAGCTTAAGCTAACATGAACACAGATGTTATCGGGGTGTGCCAAAAGACCTTAGGACGAGCGTGTGCCTTATTCATACAGTTGTGTATGATATTTTCTGTGGAAGTCTATATAACTTTATTAGTGAGTGTTGATTATTCCTGCTTGGCTGCAAGCATTCACATGATTTAATCTAAGGATTTTACTGACCTCTACTGGTCTACTGTGTTTACAACAACAGTTTCATATCTAAAATTAAGAAAGTGTAATAGAAATGCCTGATCGCCCTTTCAAACTGATTTTTTTGTAGTCATCTGAAAAAATAAGCTCCAAAAACAGCAACGGCAGCACAAAGTAACACCTTTTATAAAGCATGGAGTGGAGACGTGTGAATGCAGTTATTGTGTATCACATGTACAGATTCAAGTGCTGCAGTAACAAACATGAAGCTTCTGTCTGCAAAATACCAAAGACAAGCTGTGAGCTGCTTGTATGATGGCAGCAATAAGCTGAAACTGGAAATCTTCATTTTTTT